GACAACAGGAAGTAAGGTGACGTACCTCCACTCACTGACAACAGGAAGTAGGGTGACGTACCTCCACTGACAACAGGAAGTATGGTGACACGTACCTCCACTGACAACAGGAAGTATGGTCACGTACCTCCACTGACAACAGGAAGCATGGTGACGTACCTCCACTGACAACAGGAAGTAAGGTGATGTACCTCCACTGACAACAGGAAGTATGGTGACACATACCTCCACTGACAACAGGAAGTATGGTCACGTACCTCCACTGACAACAGGAAGTATGGTGACGTACCTCCACTGACAACAGGAAGTAAGGTGACGTACCTCCACTGACTACAGGAAGTACGGTGACGTACCTCCACTGACAACAGGAAGTAAGGTGACACGTACCTCCACTGACAACAGGAAGTATGGTGACGTACCTCCACTGACAACAGGAAGTAAGGTGACGTACCTCCACTGACAACAGGAAGTAAGGTGACACGAACCTCCACTGACAACAGGAAGTATGGTGACACGTACCTCCACTGACAACAGGAAGTAGGGTGACTTACCTCCACTGACAACAGGAAGTTAGGTGACGTACCTCCACTGACAACAGGAAGTATGGTGACACGTACCTCCACTGACAACAGGAAGTAAGGTGACGTACCTCCACTGACTTCAGGAAGTATTGTGACGTACCTCCACTGACTACAGGAAGCATGGTGACACGTACCTCCACTGACTACAGGAAGTAAGGTGACGTACCTCCACTGACTACAGGAAGTAAGGTGACACGTACCTCCACTGAAAACAGGAAGTATGGTGACACGTACCTCCACTGACAACAGGAAGTAAGGTGACATACCTCCACTGACAACAGGAAGTAAGGTGACACGTACCTCCACTGACAACAGGAAGTATGGTGACACGTACCTCCACTGACAACAGGAAGTATGGTGACACGTACCTCCACTGACTACAGGAAGTAAGGTGACGTACCTCCACTGACAACAGGAAGTAAGGTGACACGTACCTCCACTGACAACAGGAAGTATGGTGACACGTACCTCCACTGACAACAGGAAGTATGGTGAAACGTACCTCCACTGACTACAGGAAGTAAGGTGACACGTACCTCCACTGACAACAGGAAGTATGGTGACACGTACCTCCACTGACTACAGGAAGTAAGGTGACACGTACCTCCACTGACTACAGGAAGTAAGGTGACACGTACCTCAACTGACGACAGGAAGTAAGGTGATGTACCTTCACTGACTACAGGAAGTAAGGTGACGTACCTCCACTGACAACAGGAAGTAAGTTGACGTACCTCCACTGACTACAGGAAGTAAGGTGACGTACCTCCACTGACTACAGGAAGTAAGTTGACGTACCTCCACTGACTACAGGAAGTAAGGTGACACGTACCTCCACTGACTACAGGAAGTAAGGTGACACGTACCTCAACTGACGACAGGAAGTAAGGTGATGTACCTCCACTGACAACAGGAAGTAAGGTGACATACCTCCACTGACAACAGGAAGTAAGTTGACGTACCTCCACTGACTACAGGAAGTAAGTTGACGTACCTCCACTGACTACAGGAAGTAAGGTGACACGTACCTCCACTGACAACAGGAAGTAAGGTGACACGTACCTCCACTGACAACAGGAAGTAAGGTGACACGTACCTCCACTGACAACAGGAAGTATGGTGACACGTACCTCCACTGACAACAGGAAGTATGGTGACACGTACCTCCACTGACTACAGGAAGTAAGGTGACACGTACCTCCACTGACAACAGGAAGTATGGTGACACGTACCTCCACTGACTACAGGAAGTAAGGTGACACGTACCTCCACTGACTACAGGAAGTAAGGTGACACGTACCTCAACTGACGACAGGAAGTAAGGTGATGTACCTCCACTGACTACAGGAAGTAAGGTGACGTACCTCCACTGACAACAGGAAGTAAGTTGACGTACCTCCACTGACTACAGGAAGTAAGGTGACGTACCTCCACTGACAACAGGAAGTAAGTTGACGTACCTCCACTGACTACAGGAAGTAAGGTGACGTACCTCCACTGACTACAGGAAGTAAGGTGACGTACCTCCACTGACAACAGGAAGTAAGTTGACGTACCTTCACTGACTACAGGAAGTAAGTTGACGTACCTCCACTGACTCTAGGAAGTAAGGTGACACGTACCTCCACTGACTACAGGAAGTAAGGTGACGTACCTCCACTGACAACAGGAAGTAAGTTGACGTACCTTCACTGACTACAGGAAGTAAGGTGACGTACCTCCACTGACTCGAGGTACTGCAGCATGAAGAACCACACCTGGGAGCCTGTATCAAGCAGCAGGAACTGGAAGCCCGCTGGGGAGATGGATGGCAGCGGCTCGGACGTCTCCCTGCAACAAGCAGATTAATGTTGTCAGCCCTGTGGTATATAGTTGTCAGCCCTGTGGTATATAGTTGTCAGCCCTGTGGTATATAGTTGTCAGCCCTGTGGTATATAATTGTCAGCCCTGTGGTATAGAATTGTCAGCCCTGTGGTATATAGTTGTCAGCCCTGTGGTATATAGTTGTCAGCCCTGTGGTAAATAGTTGTCAGCCCTGTGGTATATAGTTGTCAGCCCTGTGGTATATAGTTGTCAGCCCTGTGGTATATAATTGTCAACCCTGTCGTATATAGTTGTCAGCCCTGTGGTATATAGTTGTCAGCCCTGTGGTATATAGTTGTCAGCCCTGTGGTATATAGTTGTCAGCCCTGTGGTATATAGTTGTCAACCCTGTGGTAAATAGTTGTCAGCCCTGTGGTATATAGTTGTCAACCCTGTGGTATATAGTTGTCAGCCCTGTGGTATATAGTTGTCAGCCCTGTGGTATATAGTTGTCAGCCCTGTGGTATATAGTTGTCAACCCTGTGGTAAATAGTTGTCAGCCCTGTGGTATATAGTTGTCAGCCCTGTGGTATATAGTTGTCAGCCCTGTGGTATATAGTTATCAGCCCTGTGGTAAATAGTTGCTAGCCCCTGTGGTATATAGTTGTCAACCCCTGTGGTATATAGTTATCAGCCCTGTGGTATATAATTGCCAACCCCTGTGGTATATAGTTATCAGCCCTGTGGTATATAGTTGTCAACCCCTGTGGAATATAGTTGTCAACCCTGTGGTATATAGTTATCAGCCCTGTGGTATATAGTTGTCAACCCCTGTGGTATATAGTTGCCAACCCCTGTGGTATATAGTGGCCATTCCCTGTGGAATATAGTTGCCAACCCCTGTGGTATATAGTTGTCAACCCTGTGGTATATAGTTGTCAGCCCTGTGGAATATAGTTGCCAACCCCTGTTGTATATAGTTGTCAGCCCTGTGGTATATAGTTGTCAACCCCTGTTGAATATAGTTGCCAACCCCTGTTGTATATAGTTGTCAGCCCTGTGGTATATAGTTGTCAACCCCTGTGGAATATAGTTGCCAACCCCTGTGGTACATAGTTGTTAGCCCTGTGGTATATAGTTGCCAGCCCTGTGGTATATCGTTGTCAGCCCCTGTGGTATATAGTTGTCAGCCCTGTGGTATATCGTTGTCAGCCCCTGTGGTATATAGTTGCCAGCCCTGTGGTATATCGTTGTCAGCCCTGTGGTACATAGTTGCCAACCCCTGTGGAATATAGTTGCCAACCCCTGTGGTACATAGTTGTTAGCCCTGTGGTATATCGTTGTCAGCCCTGTGGTATATAGTTGTCAACCCCTGTGGAATATAGTTGCCAACCCCTGTGGTACATAGTTGTCAACCATGTGGTATATCGTTGTGAGCCCTGTGGTATATCGTTGTCAGCCCTGTATATTGTCGTCTAGGTCTCCACTCACTCCTTCATAAGTCCACTGTGTAGCAGCACGTCAATGATGTCTTTGCTGACACCGTCTGTCCCCTCGGACGACCCCACCATGAAGTGAAGCACACACTGGAACCAAGAAAAGCAACATTATCATATGTAAATCTGAACCTGAGGACTGCCCACCTATTGCAAGCTTGACCAGTACTACCTGGCTCATTTGAAAGAAAATATCCTTTCTGAGTATATGGAGTATACAGACTAAAATTGATAAACTTACTTCTGCGAAAGACACCCTATCTCACACCTCACGAAACACCCTACCTAATCTCACCAAGACATCCTACGTCATCTTACAGATCCCTACCTCATCTTACAGGACCCCGTGAAGATCTGGGCTAGAATATGTCTTGATCAACCCATGCTTGCTGTAAAAGGCGACTATGCTTGTTGTAAGAGATGACTAACGGGATCGGGTGGTCAGGCTCGCTGACTTGATTCATGCATGTCATTGTATTCCAATTGCGTAGATCGATGTTCATGATGTCAATCACTGGTTTTCTGGTCCAGACTCAATTATTTACAGACCGCTGTCATATAGCTGGAATATTGCTGAGTGTGGTGTTAAACAACAAACAACAAACAACAACAAACAACAACAACAAACAACATCTTACAGGACACCTACCTCCCATCTCTCCAGGGCGTATTTGTCCAGGAACGAGACATCCTTGGCATGTTTGTCCTGCGGCAGTGGACCTCCACCGGTCCAGGGGTCACCACTAGACAAAGCCATATATTAACACCATCACAAGAAATACATTTCAGAGCATGTGTAATGATATAACATAAAGACATGTACATTAAAACATGTTTATAACGAACACGCTTATAATGAACTGACGGATATAACAAACTGAGTTTCTATGGTCCAGCCCATTTGCTGTATATGTGCTGTGTATATGATTACAACGAACTTCAGTTATAACAAACTAGAATTAGTGACCCCTTGGAGTTCACTATAACCGCAGTTTACTTTATTGGAAATCAAGTGAAGCATGCCACAGGCTGCCACCCCCCTATTACAGCACAAGGTGAGGTGAAGGTGAGGTGAAGGTGAGGTGAAGGTGAGGTGAAATTGGGTTAAACGTCGCTTCCAAGATTATTGCAATTATATAGCGACGTGCATGCACGTGTGTGTGTGGCTGCTTGTACCTGTCCGGACTGATGCCGGTTTATAGTGCTAGCTCACTGAGAAACCATGCCGCAGTTTAACATGAATACCCCACTCAGACACAGTATACTGACTCCGAGCCGACCAGTCCTTGTTTTAGCCCCTTAATGCCGAGCGCCAGACAGGGTAACAACAAGTACCATCTTTTGACGTCTTTTGGTATGACGCGGACGGGGATCGAACCCCTGGCCTTCCGCTCTCCGGGCGAACGCTCTACCACAAGACCACGGCGGTTCCAGCACAAGGAGCGATCCCGATCATGCAAGATAGAGGTGCGCTGTATTACTGGTATACCATGTATCTGTTAGCTGTGGTACGTACCGGTCATGACATGTCGTCCCACGACTGATAAGTCGCAAGTTATGACGAGTACTGACAGTAAGCATGTGGTAAATCCTTTGATATCAGCCCAACAAACAATAACCAACATGTTTGTGAGATTGACTTCCAAAAAATACCAATCGAGTTCACTGAGAGTGACTGATATTACCAACAAAATAGCGAAGTTCATTGTGAAAGATTTAAGACCATATCGCATTGTTGAAAGTTCTGAATTTAAAGAGGTCATAAACACTCTTGATCCAAGATATTCAGTGCCATCCAGGAAACAGTTTGCAGAAGTCATTGTGCCAAAAATGTACTACGTAGTGAAGTTGGAAGTGACAGAAATTCTCAAAACTGCTAGTCAGGTACCATGGTATGTACCGTGGTATTTGAGCAGACACCGGGGTATACCATGGTACTGTATTTTTTGTGGTACCCATCACTAATGCAAGACAAAACTGACCCTCCCAGCAAGGCAATCTTCAGGTTTTTTCGGAATGTGTGATTAAGGAGCCAGCCAGGCATCCCCCCGGGGAGGGGCTGGTCATGCCACACCCTCAGATCCGACAGAGACTTGACTGCAAACCGATGCTCCCTGAAAGTAGCAAAGGCAACATGTAAACTGAATGTGTTGAAACAGATCCAGAGGGGATCACTGAACCCTTAGGAGAAATGTTTCAACAAAAATAATATTCCTAAACTTTGGCTTACAAACACAGAATTTATCTTGAATTAATTATTAGTTTATCAAGAATTTTTCTTATTTTAAACACACTGGCTTTCCCAAACCTTGTGCACCCTCCTTTTCAAAAATGCTGTATCCACACTTGATCTGATTGTTTGAAAAACATTAATGGAATTTCAAGCCCAGAAATTTCTGGATTTTCACTGGGTATGAAGGCTTTTCTTGGTGAGCATCATTTGCCAAACTTGGAAAAAAATGCATTTGACACAGTGACATATAGCTTTGATTAATATTCATCTGTTTTCTCAGCACTCTGTCAGTGAGGTTGTTTCCTTGTCACAGAAGTGCAGTATGTCAACCTTTGTGTGATGATGTTATCGTATACCACAGTGATGTCATCAATGTCCTACAGCTGTTTGAGTTCTATGGAAAAGACTAAGTATGCTAGTCGCTTTTTGTATTTGCAAGGTGAGTAAAGATGTTATGTTTTCAGGTTTGCAGATTTTTTGATTTTTTTTAAAATGGAATAAAAAACGAAATGTGCGGTGGTGCCTGAGAACCAAGACTATTATTCTTTTTTAGCCTAAGAAACATTCGTAGTCTTGTCACTAAAAGTGAGAACAACTAAATTCGCAATATACTTATGATGTCCAGAAACACATGATCAGACAATATATAAAAATCTGTAGCAAACATGAGAATTTTCCTTGGATTCTCGGAATTTTTCCTCAGAATGATGTAAAATAAACTTAATCCTTGTTTTTAAAATTTTCTAGACACCCCCCCACTAGATTGCTGATGTTCCAAAAATAAAAGTTTTGCTGTTCTTATGTCTGCTGTATTTTAACAAAAAAGAATCAATCAATTATCTTTTAGTATCTGGCCATGTTTAAACTTTTTTGTCTTTCTGTCATTGTAGCAGTACTAATCTGAAAGTTGAATTTAAAAAAAGAATTTGAACACTTACAATAAATTGTAGGCCAAAAGTTTTGTAAACCAATTAACAAGAAATAAAGGCACTCCTGATTATTTGATGAGCACAAATATTCAAAAACAGCTGACACATATTTATGTCCAGCCAACTAAACTTTGCTTTCACTTCCAACTAGTGCTTGAGGAAATCATTCACAATATTAGAATGTTTTATATATGTTATCAAAGATGGTGAAAGAATCCAAAAGGTACAAACACTGAATTTGGGTAACGTCATTTCAAGTACAACTCAATTAGTACCCCTTCCCTGACAACCAATCCCCAAACATCCCCGCTACCCTTTCATCAAGCTACATCAACATCGCTTTTGATGCAACTCTGCTCATCTTCTAATAAGCATCATCAACACAGGTGGTATCTCCACAGTGACTGATTGGCATGGGTATATACCAGTTTGAACAGTCCTATCAATGAATGCCATTACCAAAATTACCATTTTGGTGAAACCCAGTAGCACAGAATCATATTCAAGGCAAACCTAGGATTAAACCCCTCATCATATCGTTCAGGTACACCTAAGGGAGGCAACTCTACACAGCAAATTGAGGTGCCTCAAAAAAGGTGTCCTCTGACAATGATTTGGTTCAATATTTGTTAAAATAACATTAATTATTGCCATTCTTATTTTTACATATGTTTCTGCTAATATTAATTTGTCATGTTTTTCCTTGAAAGTCACCTACAGTTAATTTGTCTCTTAAATCTTGAGGCATTACCATTATTGCATAGAATCTCCATTGTAACACCAGAACCGTATTCCACACTTTGCGATCTTGACGCTACAACTATCGTAAGTCTATGTTTAAGTGTGGGAGTTGTGATCATCTTAGCGCTAAGATCTCTTTGTGGGCGATTGCCAAGTTATTTTCTTATTTTTTGGATGAGCATGATGAACAAATAATAAAGCCTGACAATCAGAATATTTCTTCATTTTTATATTTTGCCTCCTGTCTTTGGCCAGATTGACAAAGAATACCTTTGACAATAGAAACTAACAAGATAGACACAATATTTTTATGGATAACAACTTCTTTAATACTGTGAAAAGCGACGTTTCGGTATAGATCCTTATATCGTTGTCAAGCAAGACTGAATGAGGGACATAGTGCAGAATATATATAGTAGGTGGAGGATTAACAGTAGAGGATTAACAGTAACAACAAGGGCATACATGAGTGGGATAACATAGGTAGGTGTTGGCAACAAAGGGATGATGCTGTCACAACACGATGGACAGAGAACCTCCACCAGCAAATCCGACAGCAAATCAGCCATCTCGGACCATATCAGCAACTGTCCCAATCACAACATCAACAGGGACAACGTCCAAATCCTCTCCAACAACCTCCATGATTTCACAAAAAGAAAACTAACAGAAGCATTCCACATTCGCCGCCACAAGCCATCAATCAACAGAGATCAAGGCTATTTCATCCCATCCGCCTACTATGAACTCATCAAACAATAATCACCTGTTTATTGGCTTCATGCCCCTATTGGCTTCTAGCTATGTGTTTTCTGTCCATCGTGTTCTGATAGCATCATCCCTTTGTTGTCACACCTACCAATGTTATCCCACTCATGTATGCTTTTGTTACTGTTAATCCTCTACGGTTAATCCTCCACCTACTATATATATTCTGCACTATGTCCCTCATTCAGTCTTGCTTGACAACCGTATCAGGATCTATACCGAAACGTCGCTTTTCACAGTATTAAAGAAGTTGTTATCCATAAAAATATTGTGTCTATCTTGTCATCCGTCAACTTCTAAGTAATGCCTATCAAACAAGTAATAGAGACTAAGTTGGTTATGCCTTGTACTGGAAGCTACTCACTCCTGGTGCTTGTTTGAGATCCACTGACCCACAACCGTCTGGGAAACTGGCTGCTCCACAAACAAAATTCTCATCACATAGTGGCGACCCAGCTCCGGCAGTTCTCTGAGGAAAACAAGGAACAGACATTGAACATGCCGTAGTCAGCAATAACCTGCCCAGCACTAGGATGCACCATTGGAAATAAACAACCAAATCAAGAGGAAAAAACCCATCCATGTTAACATTATGAAGTTTACGTGAGTGAGTGAGTGTAATTGGATAGGTTTCTGGAGTGCCCATGGGAAGCAAATTGTGCCTTAGACGGCAAAAACTAAAATTCATGAACGACAGGTTAAAGGAACTAATTGCTAAAAGTCACATTTAATTCTAAACTAAACTAACGCTTTGCAAATTTATTGATTGCATAGCCAGACCCGGGTACATGATACTTTTTAATTTATATTATTTCTTTTTATTGCATTTTGTTATACAATTCCTGTTGATATACGATTCAACATGGTTTAATAAAATGGATCATTTCAGCTGGACAGTACAGTTTAGTTAACTGACTTCAATATATTTTGCATTTATGGAGGTGTAAAATAAATTTTGCACACTGTGTCAATATGTGCATAACTCCATAAATGCAAAAACATTAAAGAAAATTCTTAAAAATAAATATGGTACATCAACAATAAATTCACTGCTTAATTATTTAATCATCAAAAACAATATTAGATGCAATAGGAAATCAGCGACATCGTTCAGCACAAGGATGCCACACAAGTCCCACCCATTCTATAATCAACCAATCAGAGAAATATAGTCTATTATTCATCGTGACCTTTTTTTCGGTATTTAAAAAAAAAAAAAATGCAGACCTCCCAAAAAGCAGTTAAAATTAGCTCACTAATTAATTGGGCCATGCTAGTCACACCTAATTAATGAATGGACTGGTCTACTCCCCTGCTATGAGGGATTATCAATATGTTGAGACAATGAGCAGTAGTGGACAACAACAGTGTCTTAAAAAACTCCTCCTTTCTTTAATCTGCTCCCGGTACATCACAAATCTTATTCAAACATTACCTTTAAACAAGTTGTGGGATTTGTGTAAGAATATACCAAATGTTCTCAATCACTAATACTTCCTTCTCTTGTGTATGGTATAACATATAAATATATTTGAACATGAGCTTCAACCTCGTACAATTAAGCTATGGCCGGACTTACGAAAGTTGAGTATGTCTTGTCCCAGAAAGGTTTTACTAAGGGTACAGGGTACTAAATACTGATGCAACCAACCATAACGAGTGTTGTTTTAACGGGTCTGCGTTTTGGGAGGATACCGTTTGTTACATGGGTGATACCATTTTACTTAAGGGTATACAGGGTACTAAATACTGATGCAACCAACCATAACGAGTGTTGTTTTAACGGGTCTGCGTTTTGGGAGGATACCGTTTGTTACATGGGTGATACCATTTTACTTAAGGGTATACAGGGTACTAAATACTGATGCAACCAGCCATAATAAGTGTTGTTTTAACGGGTCTGCGTTTTGGCAGGTCTACGTTTTGGGAGGATACCGTTTATGTACAATGATTAAATGTACTAATTTTGGACACCCAATACTTATATTAAATCTAACACACTCTTATCTTATGTCACATGACATTTCCCTTTGGCGATTTGTTTTCGGGCAAGATGAGAGTTTGTTTAACATTTCAGCAGGTTTAATCATATTGTAACTATTTCGCTTGAACCTAGCGGCTAATGGGATAGCGTTAACCAAAGTAAGGCAGATATTAGAATGTATAGAAGATATATTTAGAATTAAGATTGAAGATAAACATCGTAAACAAACATTTCCAAAATTCCAAGAAATGTCAAGGCACGGCATTTTGATACATCAATGGCTATCTGATTACTCGAATGGAGTAAGGAACTGAATGTTAATTCCTAGCAGGTACCTAAACACCGCTAAGCATGTCGCGGGGTGGCTGTAGAGTCTGTCTAGGATGGACGTGTGTAAGGTTTTCAAGTAAGCGTGCAGATCTTTGCAGTCCAACTTTCTCGTGGCCGCCATGCTTTCTCTAGGAAAGCTCCTCTCAGGGATATACCAGGCTCTTTTTTATCTTCCATCGTAGTTTTAGACGCTGCGCTGAGTTTCAAAAGTTCCTCGCCTTTGTCGGGTAATCATTTTTAAAGTAAGATAAACATTCATAGGTGACACTCATTTAAATATATGAGGACCTGTCTCCCGTGTTTATCTATATTTCATAGAATGGTACAGCTATTGTTTTTGACAGAATCTCAGTTTGTGTCCGGATAGTTAAGAATATTTGTTCTACAAATATACATTCAACGAATGGTCCCAGCAGGTGCCCGTCAAACCGGATTCAGTTCCTTATGCTAAAATCAATGGAAACTAGATCCAGATTGAAGACAAAAAAACAAGCTTGACAAACCAGAACTCGTGATTGCAGACGAAAACACAGCTTAAATTACTCGACCAATGTTTCGTGCCAACATGTTAGCAGTAGTCGTCTTCTTGTGTTGTGTTTCCGGTGCGTACAGTGTGCAATGTATGTCTTCAACGGGAAAACCAGTAGATTGGTAAGTCAAAAGTCGAGTTTCAATCAAGTGACAAACAGCTATAGTCACCAATGTAACAAATGTTATATTTGGGATAACACTTTCTTATTTAAGTACAACTAGTACTTTAAAGGGGCACTGACCTAAAGCACCCCGGGACTGGTTGTTGCCTTTGTTATTGTTTTTTCCCGTGAGCACCCAGATGATATTGCAGAAACCTAGACTAGTTCGCGACCTGTGCTGCGCAATTCGTAAGCGCATTTGTCACTTTTATTGATAGTATAAGGGCGTATGGTCACATCTATCAACAAAATGAAATACAGTTTTGGTAATAATAAGGAAATGTATGAATCATTGTGGGTAGCATCGGTAATGGTGATGAACTTTTGATAAGTCACTTGCCTTGTAATTGTGTGATTTTCGTTTACACTATTTTGACTTGCAACACAAAATAAATATTTCTCCTGAGCATTGCTTATTTTATCGTGTTTATATTATTTACAGTCAAAATGTGCAAAATTTTCACTTAGGAAATTCATTAAAAGCCTGAATATTCAGTTATTTTACAAATTGACTGGAAAATATGTCTATTTGTATTATTATGATAACGAATTCCAAACATTTTTATGTTTAATATCATCACCAAGAGACTGAAAATGTAACGATGAAAAGTATATTCTATATTGTTTGGCTTCTAATCCTACATAATAATCTATTGTGATGTTTATAGGCCCTTTTGATCGTCTTAATCAGTTTTAGTCAATCTGTTAAAGAAATGGACAGATTTTTCAGTCAAAATGACTGAAATATTTACACATTTTATAAATTGCCTGAGAGAATCACATTTTACAAATTGACTGTAATATATACACGCTTATAAAGAAAAAGACTTGTGAAAGCAACGACTATCACGCATCGAAGAATTTCCCAACCAAGACGTAGAGGAACAGGAATGAATCTGTCCAATGCTACAGCAAATGAAGGAAAACAAAATGCAAATATCATAATTACAACCTACCAATTTATGGTGTCCTGCTATTTAACGTCTGGGGGCGTCCGGAAACGTCCGGGAGGTTTCATCAGACGTCCGGAAACGTCCGGGAGTTTAAAAATACAGTGCAGTCAATAAAACATGTCTTTCTCAGTTTGGTAAGATCGTGAGAATATCAACTGGCGTACGTGTTTGCCATGTGCAGCGGCCAGAAAATGGAAGTACCAGTAACTGGAAATTTAATCAATCAATGTATTTTCTGTTAATCCTTTGATGACTAAGAAACGATCTGCTGATTTACAAAAAAAGTAAATCAACTGATCATTCATCTCTTGCTGGGCTGCCGCGTGCATATTACATAACACACATTTCACCTCACTTCCAACCTGGATTTAGATTGAATAATTACCGCAGACACAGTACATGCCAGATGGGAACCTTTCGTCAGGTATTCTGAGTGGTGCTACCACTAATTATACCTGTACCTGCTTTCACTGCATTGATACTTTTTTTAAACTATAACGATCAGGGGTGTTTCCAAATGACGACAACTGATGGAATCGCCGTTCTTTTTGTTTGTTTGTTTAGGCTGAAGAAATTAATTAACATTTATAGATCACGGTTAACCAATCAGTGTTCAAAAATGGGTAAAACAAATATTGCCTCCAAGTTTATTTTGCTGTCCTTGCAGACGGTAGCCCAGTCTCTTGTCACACTCAGTTGCATTGCGTATCATCCGGGTACTCACAGGGAAAAAACAATAACATAGGCAACAACCAGTCCTGGGGAATTGCTTTAGATCAGTGCCCCTTTAAGGATCGAGTCCTATCCGGGATTCGAACCACCACTCTCAAGTGAGGCACCTAATCGCCAGCACACAAAGTCAGCGATCTAACCCACTCAGCCACCGAGGCTTCCACAGACACAGAAGTCTGGTAATTGGTAGTTTAGATCACGTACTTTGGGACTCCTCTAACAAGTGTAAATTGGCATGGCTCCCATAGCCAAAAGCTATGAATACACAATGCCATTTAGAAAGGGTGAAAAGTTGTGAAGCAGTTAAAACATGTGTTGCGATTTTTATTGGCCTTTTCACCAAACGTGTGGGTCGTTTTGGCACAGGTCAGTTTTAACCTGATTCCCCTGCAAATAACAGCTCCCTAGTTTACTATAATTATGCTATAGCGAAGGCCAAACTAAATCTAATTCTCAGAGATGGAAGCTACTTGAATGTATACGAACAAAGCAGCCAAAGATAAAAAATGAAATCATGTCAATATACGAAAATAGAAATTTTACCAATACAAAAACAGAAATTTTATGAATTCTAAAAATCGCCATAAATATGTGTACACTACTCACACACATAAGTCCCAAAGAGGGACAGGTCAGCCGAAGTTGCTAAGGCAGAAGGCGACCTCTTAAACACTTAAAGCAACAACATCACTTGCAATCAAGACTGTTACAGCGCCTGTGAAGTGTATTAAGTGAGAGAAAACAGGTAGAAAAATCCAGCATGCTTTGGTATGTGACACTTGCCGTGGCTGTACCCACAGGATCTGTGGGACGGAAATAATAAGAGAGCAATATTTGCTAGTTGTAGCAAGTAAAGAAGAATTTTTTCTGTCCGCCATGTTTGGTGATATAGAACTGTGAAAAAGTCACCATATGTTTCAGTGATTTTCACAATATGTTTCAGTAACTGTCACTGTATGTTTCAGTGTTTTTCACCATATGTTTCAGTGATTTTCACAATATGTTTCAGTGATTTTCACAATATGTTTCAGTAACTGTCACCATATGTTTCAGTGATTTTCACAATATGTTTCAGTGATTTTCACAATATGTTTCAGTGATTTTCACAATATGTTTCGGTGATTTTCACAATACGTTTCAGTAACTGTCACCACATGTTTCAGTGATTTTCACAATATGTTTCAGTAACTGTCACCATATGTTTCAGTGATTTTCACCACCTGTTTCAGTGATTTTCACAATATGTTTCAGTAACTGTCACCATATGTTTCAGTGATTTTCACCACCTGTTTCAGTGATTTTCACCACATGTTTCAGTGATTTTCACCACATGTTTCAGTGATTTTTACCACATGTTTCAGCAGACCTGATAAATGAACCATGTATTCCAGGTTCATCATTTACAAGTTGCCGGAGCTGAGGTCCAACAAGTCGAACCCGATGCTCCGAGATGGCTACGGCCACTTCTACATGGATGTGCTCAATCCGTCATGGCAGCTGTCCAAAATGTCGATGAATTCTACCAACCACGCTGTCTACTACACACTACAGGCCATCTACGAGTCCAAGCCGGTGAGATTCACTCCCTCCTTCCTTCCTCCTTCCTCTGTCTATCATTTTCACATTTTCTGTCGGTAGATTGAAAATGATTAATTAAGATTCCCAAGAACATTTATTTTGCCGCATACCGTTTGTAGTAGAGTCTGTTTATTTTGTATGTTCATGTGAGGCTTTCTTGTTTTTGTACAGGCATTCACATTTAGCATTGTTTAATACAGTTTTCAGCCTGCTAGGATCCACTTGGGGTATGGCTTTGTTTAATACAGTTTTCGGCTGCTAGGTTCCACTTGGGGTATAGCTTTGTTTATATAGTTTTCAGCCTGCTAGGATCCACTTGGGGTATAGCTTTGTTTATATAGTTTTCAGCCAGCTAGGATCCACTTGGGGTATAGCTTTGTTTATATAGTTTTCAGCCAGCTAGGATCCACTTGGGGTTTAGCTTTGTTTAATACAGTTTTCAGTCTGCTAGGATCCACTTGGGGTATAGCTTTGTTTATATAGTTTTCGGTCTGCTAGGATCCACTTGGGGTATAGCTTTGTTTATATAGTTTTCGGTCTGCTAGGATCCACTTGGGGTATAGCTTTGTTTATATAGTTTTCAGTCTGCTAGGATCCACTTGGGGTATAGCTTTGTTTATATAGTTTTCGGTCTGCTAGGATCCACTTGGGGTATAGCTTTGTTTATATAGTTTTCAGCCTGCTAGGATCCACTTGGGGTATAGCTTTGTTTATATAGTTTTCGGTCTGCTAGGATCCACTTGGGGTATAGCTTTGTTTATATAGTTTTCAGCCTGCAAGGATCCACTTGGGGTATAGCTTTGTTTATATAGTTTTCAGCCAGCTAGGATCCACTTGGGGTTTAGCTTTGTTTAATACAGTTTTCAGTCTGCTAGGATCCACTTGGGGTATAGCTTTGTTTAATACAGTTTTCAGTCTGCTAGGATCCACTTGGGGTATAGCTTTGTTTAATACAGTTTTCGGCTGCTAGGTTCCACTTGGGGTATAGCTTTGTTTAATACAGTTTTCAGTCTGCTAGGTTCCACTTGGGGTATAGCTTTGTTTAATACAGTTTTCGGCTGCTAGGTTCCACTTGGGGTATAGCTTTGTTTAATACAGTTTTCGGCTGCTAGGTTCCACTTGGGGTATAGCTTTGTTTATATAGTTTTCAGTCTGCTAGGATCCACTTGGGGTATAGCTTTGTTTATATAGTTTTCAGTCTGCTAGGATCCACTTTTGGTATAGCTTTGTTTAATACAGTTTTCGGCTGCTAGGTTCCACTTGGGGTATAGCTTTGTTTAATACAGTTTTCAGTCTGCTAGGATCCACTTGGGGTATAGCTTTGTTTAATACAGTTTTCGGCTGCTAGGTTCCACTTGGGGTATAGCATTGTTTATATAGTTTTCAGTCTGCTAGGATCCACTTGGGGTATAGCTTTGTTTATATAGTTTTCGGTCTGCTAGGTTCCATTTGGGATAGAGCTTTGTTTATATAGTTTTCGGTCTGCTAGGCCTTTTCCGGGTCAAATTTCTACCCATAATGCCTGTTTCTATGTTCTTGTCTCGGGCTAACGAGACCTAATATTCTTTTCCCATCATGCCAGAGGCGGTGGGGTAGCCTAGTGGTTAAAGCATTCACTCGTCACGCAGAAGATCCGGGTTCGATTCCCGACATGGGTACAATGTGTGAAGTCCATTTCTGGTGTCCCCCGCCGTGATATTGTTAGAATATTGCTAAAAGCGGTGTAAAACAATACTCACTCACTCCGATCCTCCCAAGAGGGATGGTTTAACTGCCCGCCTTTCGGTGTCATTGGCTAGCTAAACGCTACTTCGAACACATTTGTTTTTGTTTTCTGCCCACTAGCAGTGTTTTCTGTTCAATATATTCTAGTTGTATGTCCCGGTGGGTAGAAGGCTAAGTACAAGTTACATTCTACGAGCAACTTAGTATTTTCTCTTTAAGTTTAAATTTTATGACTGAGCTAATTTAGATCTAAGCCATTCCAGTATACACTTTCTTATTGTGTTACTTTTGTGCTTTTCATTGTACCTGGTCTGCATATTTTACCTACTTCGGCCAAATAAATCTCGTCATTTTAGACCTGTGGGGGTTCTTAATTAACAATGTTAAGAGTGTTTTAGTGCATGGTGTTCAGCCTCTGGCCACTTCTATCCTCTTATTAGGAGAATAATTTAGGGCTTCTCAGAAGTACATATACATACATTTCACTGTAAGAGTACTACATTTCTAAATTATCAACAGTGTAAGCAGTTATTTTGCCAAATAAACCAACCAATCCAAACATATTCTTGACAAATAATATGCAAGATATTTAGCTTCACAAATTTTATTTTGACTTTGTTAAAAATCTGCGTGGCATAAAATGAGAAAAATGTGGCCTTAAGCTGAAATAATGTTGACTGTTGTTAGCGTATATATTTGCAGTGCAGGGGCTCAAGGTCTACTTTCTATGGAATATCCCAGAGACAAGGTGTACATTCTGTAGAATATCCCTGGGACTGACGGATATTATGTTGACTGTCCCTGATAATGGGTTAGTCTATGAAAAAAAGGCCTCATTAAAACAATAGGATTTCACCCCAAGATGTTAAAACGTAGACATGGTTTATACTTAGACACATTTTTTACATAGACATGGTTGTTGGTCTGTTGTAGACTGATGACTTCATGTACCTGATGTACAACGACGATGACCCCAACGACCAGGAGTCCCTCAACCACGGCCACACGAAGGGTAGGTAGCCGTCACATGTCTCTCCATGGCCACACGAACATCATGGACACTGTTGCTATAGGAACAATAGTTTCTACCATTACTAACATTATAGACACTGTTTATATAGGAACAATAGTTTCTACCGTTACTAACATTACAGACACTGTTGCTATAGGAACAATAGTTTCTACCGTTACTAACATTATAAACACTGTTGCTATAGGAACAATAGTTTCTACCGTTAGTAACATTATAGACACTGTTGATATAGGAACAATAGTTTCTACTGTCACTAACATTATAAACACTGTTGCTATAGGAACAATAGTTTCTACCGTTAGTAACATTATAGACACTGTTGATATAGGAACAATAGTTTCTACCATTACTAACATTATAGACACTGTTGATATAGGAACAATAGTTTCTACCGTTACTAACATTATAGACACTGTTGATATAGGAACAATAGTTTCTACCATTACTAACATTATAGACACTGTTGCTATAGGAACAATAGTTTCTAACATTATAGACACTGTTGATATAGGAACAATAATTTCTACCATTACTAACATTATAGACACTGTTGATAGAGGAACAATAGTTTCTAACATTATAGACACTGTTGATATAGGAACAATAATTTCTACCATTACTAACATTATAGACACTGTTGATATAGGAACAATAGTTTCTACCGTTACTAACATTATAGACACTGTTGATATAGGAACAATAGTTTCTACCATTACTAACATTATAGACACTGTTGCTATAGGAACAATAGTTTCTAACATTATAGACACTGTTGATATAGGAACAATAGTTTCTACCATTACTAACATTATAGACACTGTTGCTATAGGAACAATAGTTTCAACCATTACTAACATTATAGACACTGTTGCTATAGGAACAATAGTTTCTACCGTTACTAACATTATAGAATTATAGACACTGTTGATATAGGAACAATAGTTTCGACCATTACTAACATTATAGACACTGTTGCTATAGGAACAATAGTTTCTACCGTTACTAACATTATAGACACTGTTGCTATAGGAACAATAGTTTCTACCATTACTAACATTATAGACACTGTTGATATAGGAACAATAGTTTCTACCATTACTAACATTATAGACACTGTTGCTATAGGAACAATAGTTTCTACGTGACTAACATTATAGACACTGTTGCTATAGGAACAATAGTTTCTACCGTTACTAACATTATAGACACTGTTGATAGAGGAACAATAGTTTCTACCATTACTAACATTATAGACACTGTTGATAGAGGAACAATAGTTTCTACTGTCACTAACATTATAGACACTGTTGATATAGGAACAATAGTTCCTACCATTACTAACATTATAGACACTGTTGATAGAGGAACAATAGTTTCTACTGTCACTAACATTATAGACACTGTTGATATAGGAACAATAGTTTCTACCATTACTAACATTATAGACACTGTTGATATAGGAACAATAGTTTCTACTGTTACTAACATTATAGACACTGTTGATAGAGGAACAATAGATTCTACTGTTACTAACATTATAGACACTGTTGATATAGGAACAATAGTTTCTACTGTCACTAACATTATAGACACTGTTGATAGAGGAACAATAGTTTCTACTGTTACTAACAATATAGACACTGTTGATATAGGAACAATAGTTTCTACTGTCACTAACATTATAGACACTGTTGATAGAGGAACAATAGTTTCTACTGTCACTAACATTATAGACACTGTTGATAGAGGAACAATAGTTTCTACTGTTACTAACATTATAGACACTGTTGATAGAGGAACAATAGTTTCTACTGTTACTAACATTATAGACACTGTTGATATAGGAACAATAGTTTCTACCATTACTAACATTATAGACAATGTTGATATAGGAACAATAGTTTCTAACATTATAGACACGGTTGATATAGGAACAATAGTTTCTACCATTACTAACATTATAGACAATGTTGATATAGGAACAATAGTTTCTTCCATTACTAACATTACAGACACTGTTGATATAGGAACAATAGTTTCTACTGTCACTAACATTATAGACACTGTTGATATAGGAACAATAGTTTCTACCCTTACTAACATTATAGACACTGTTGATATAGGAACAATAGTTTCTACTGTCACTAACATTATAGACACTGTTGATATAGGAACAATAGTTTCTACTGTCACTAACATTATAGACACTGTTGATATAGGAACAATAGTTTCTACTGTTACTAACATTATAGACACTGTTGATAGAGGAACAATAGTTTCTACCACTACTAACATTATAGACACTGTTGATAGAGGAACAATAGTTTCTACTGTTACTAACATTATAGACACTGTTGATATAGGAACAATAGTTTCTACCATTACTAACATTATAGACACTGTTGATATAGGAACAATAGTTTCTACCGTTACTAACATTATAGACACTGTTGATATAGGAACAATAGTTTCTACCATTACTAACATTATAGACACTGTTGATATAGGAACAATAGTTTCTACTGTCACTAACATTATAGACACTGTTGATGTAGGAACAATAGTTTCTACTGTCACTAACATTATAGACACTGTTGATGTAGGAACAATATTTTCTACCATTACTAACATTATAGACACTGTTGATAAAGGAACAATAGTTTCTACTGTCACTAACATTATAGACACTGTTGATGTAGGAACAATAGTTTCTACCGTCACTAACATTATAGACACTGTTGATATAGGAACAATAGTTTCTACCATTACTAACATTATTGACACTGTTGATAGAGGAACAATAGTTTCTACTGTTACTAACATTATAGACACTGTTGATATAGGAACAATAGTTTCTAACATTACTAACATTATAGACACTGTTGATATAGGAACAATAGTTTCTACCGTTACTAACATTATAGACACTGTTGATATAGGAACAATAGTTTCTACCATTACTAACATTATAGACACTGTTGATATAGGAACAATAGTTTCTACTGTCACTAACATTATAGACACTGTTGATGTAGGAACAATAGTTTCTACCATTACTAACATTATAGACACTGTTCATAAAGGAACAATAGTTTCTACTGTCACTAACATTATAGACACTGTTGATGTAGGAACAATAGTTTCTACCGTCACTAACATTATAGACACTGTTGATATAGGAACAATAGTTTCTACCATTACTAACATTATAGACACTGTTGATAGAGGAACAATAGTTTCTACTGTTACTAAAATTATAGACACTGTTGATATAGGAACAATAGTTTCTACCGTTACTAACATTATAGACACTGTTGATATAGGAACAATAGTTTCTACCGTTACTAACATTATAGACACTGTTGATATAGGAACAATAGTTTCTACCATTACTAACATTATAGACACTGTTGATATAGGAACAATAGTTTCTACCATTACTAACATTATAGACACTGTTGCTATAGGAACAATAGTTTCTACCATTACTAACATTATAGACACTGTTGATGTAGGAACAATAGTTTCTACTGTCACTAACATTATAGACACTGTTGATGTAGGAACAATAGTTTCTACCATTACTAACATTATAGACACTGTTGATAGAGGAACAATAGTTTCTACCGTTACTAACATTATAGACACTGTTGATGTAGGAACAATAGTTTCTACCATTACTAACATTATAGACACTGTTGATATAGGAACAATAGTTTCTACTGTCACTAACATTATAGACACTGTTGATGTAGGAACAATAGTTTCTACCATTACTAACATTATAGACACTGTTGATATAGGAACAATAGTTTCTACTGTCACTAACATTATAGACACTGTTGATATAGGAACAATAGTTTCTACTGTCACTAACATTATAGACACTGTTGATGTAGGAACAATATTTTTCTACCATTACTAGTATGTGATGTCTCTCAATCCGTCTCATCAGAGTGGGAGTGGGAGGTAGGAATGGCCCAGTAGTTTACAGTGCCACAGAGTTACATACCTTAGCCATGCCAGGATCCATGTGTCATTGGTTTGAATAAACCTGAATACACCTCTGTTTCATTCAGGGCTTTCATCCCACATCAAGCAGACACGATGTGATGTAACTGAAATACAAAGCAAGTGAAAACCAACTGTCAAGAGATTAGGCATCTATTTTTGGACCAGGTTCAAGTTTCTGAACATACTTGCTCTGCTTATTTTATTTGGAGTGATTGGGTAGCCTCCTGGTTAAAGTGTTTGTTCTTCACCCTGACTGCCCGAGTTTGAATCCCTACATGCTACAATGAGTAACGCCCATTTCTTGTGTCCCTTGTGTGTGGCTGGAATATTGCTCAAAGTGTCCTCTAACACTATTCACTCACTCGATCCTAAAAGGAATATGTATGTTTGATTGTTGATGTGTTTTTCCTTCCAGGTGTCGTGGCGTTTGATAACAAGACTGGCTACTGGTTGGTTCACAGCACCCCGCAGTTCCCACGCTACAAGAACGAGAGCTACACGTGGCCCCACAATGCCCTGAGCTTTGGACAGAGCTTCCTGTGCGTGTCCTACAGTTACTCCCAGCTCAACGCTATCGGTGAGACATTTATGACCTTTTAGAGTTATTCTTGAGGAACCATCTGAAGTGATATGCTTCATGAGGCAAAGACTGTATTGTTAATAGGGCCATGTATTGGACAAGAATTTGTTTTGCTATATATTGGGAGCTGAAGTGTTTGACAGTGATTGACACTGATTGTACATGCAGATCCTATGTTCTACGTACTAAAGTAAATATTACTCAACATGGTCACGGGGCGGTCGGGTAGCCTAGTGGTTAAAGCGTTAGCTCGTCACGCCGAAGACCCGGGTTCGAATCCCGACATGGGTACAATGTGTGAAGCCCATTTCTGGTGTCCCCCGCCATGATATTGCTGGAATATTGCTAAAAGCGGCGTAAAACAAAAACTCACTCACTCACTCACTCAACATGGTCACACCCGTAAAGATCCAGGTTAGAATAGGTCTTCAATAACCCATGCTTGTCGTAAGAGGCGACTATTGGGATTTGGTGGTCAGATTTGCTGACTTGGTTGATGCATGTCATCGTATCCCAATTGTGTGGATCGATGCTCATGATGTCAATCACTGGATTGACTGGTCCAGACTTGATTATTTACAGACCGCCGTCATATGGCTGGAATATTGCGGAGTGCGGCGTTAAACATCAACAGCATGTGCAGTATTATTATGACATCACTATTATGATGTCACCTACAATTGTTTTTGGACCGTGTGATAGTCTAGTGATCTAGGTTCCCTCGTCAACCCAAAGGCCAAGGTTTGATTCCAATGGGTCCAATGTGAAGCCCATTTCTGGTGTCGCCTGCCATGATGTTTGTGATTGCCAAAAGCCGTGTAAAACACTCTCCCTGTCGCACTGGTACGTTTTTCCTTCATGTGGTCAAGTTGTTTGTGTGCCGTCTCTGCCCACAGCCAAGCAGCTGTTCTTCAACTACATCCGGCTGTATGACCACTTCACCCCTGACTCCTTCCTGAACAACAACCCGGACCTGATGTCGGTCGTCAAGAACACGCGGCTGGAGACGCCTCCGTGGTCAAACAAGGTCACCCTATCATCCTTGGCAGGAACAAAGTTCACCAGCTTTGCCAAGTTCTCAAACTTCCATGCAGGTAAGAACTCGATAGGAGCGTTACATAGCTTATCCATCGATCATTGGAACATTTACACGATTTTGTCAAGTTTTGATAGGACGTTCTTCTGCATCAATACCACATTTGAAACAAAACTTCAAAGACCTAAGTTGTCAACCGATCTCGAGGGGTATATGGTGTGATGTTTCCTGTGTGTGAGCCTATGTATCCCGAGCCGTCAGGTGTGATGTACCTTGTGTGTGAGCCTATGTACCCCGAGCCGTCAGGTGTGATGTACCCTGTGTGTGAGCCTATGTACCCCGAGCCGTCAGGTGTGATGTACCTTGTGTGTGAGCCTATGTACCCCGAGCCGTCAGGTGTGATGTACCCTGTGTGTGAGCCTATGTACCCCGAGCCGTCAGGTGTGATGTACCTTGTGTGTGAGCCTATGTACCCCGAGCCGTCAGGTGTGATGTACCCTGTGTGTGAGCCTATGTATCCCGAGCCGTCAGGTGTGATGTACCCTGTGTGTGAGCCTTTGTACCCCGAGCCGTCAGGTGTGATGTACCCTGTGTGTGAGCCTATGTATCCCGAGCCGTCAGGTGTGATGTACCCTGTGTGTGAGCCTATGTATCCCGAGCCGTCAGGTGTGATGTACCCTGTGTGTGAGCCTATGTATCCCGAGCCGTCAGGTGTGATGTACCCTGTGTGTGAGCCTATGTATCCCGAGCCGTCAGGTGTGATGTACCCTGTGTGTGAGCCTATGTATCCCGAGCCGTCAGGTGTGATGTACCCTGTGTGTGAGCCTATGTATCCCGAGCCGTCAGGTGTGATGTACCCTGTGTGTGAGCCTATGTATCCCGAGCCGTCAGGTGTGATGTACCCTGTGTGTGAGCCTTTGTACCCCGAGCCGTCAGGTGTGATGTACCCTGTGTGTGAGCCTATGTACCCCGAGCCGTCAGGTGTGATGTACCCTGTGTGTGAGCCTATGTACCCCGAGCCGTCAGGTGTGATGTACCCTGTGTGTGAGCCTTTGTATCCCGAGCCGTCAGGTGTGATGTACCCTGTGTGTGAGCCTTTGTACCCCGAGCCGTCAGGTGTGATGTACCCTGTGTGTGAGCCTATGTATCCCGAGCCGTCAGGTGTGATGTACCCTGTGTGTGAGCCTATGTATCCCGAGCCGTCAGGTGTGATGTACCCTGTGTGTGAGCCTATGTATCCCGAGCCGTCAGGTGTGATGTACCCTGTGTGTGAGCCTATGTATCCCGAGCCGTCAGGTGTGATGTACCCTGTGTGTGAGCCTTTGTACCCCGAGCCGTCAGGTGTGATGTACCCTGTGTGTGAGCCTATGTACCCCGAGCCGTCAGGTGTGATGTACCCTGTGTGTGAGCCTATGTACCCCGAGCCGTCAGGTGTGATGTACCCTGTGTGTGAGCCTTTGTATCCCGAGCCGTCAGGTGTGATGTACCCTGTGTGTGAGCCTTTGTACCCCGAGCCGTCAGGTGTGATGTACCCTGTGTGTGAGCCTATGTATCCCGAGCCGTCAGGTGTGATGTACCCTGTGTGTGAGCCTATGTATCCCGAGCCGTCAGGTGTGATGTACCCTGTGTGTGAGCCTATGTATCCCGAGCCGTCAGGTGTGATGGACCCTGTGTGTGAGCCTATGTACCCCGAGCCGTCAGGTGTGATGTACCCTGTGTGTGAGCCTATGTATCCCGAGCCATCAGGTGTGATGTACCCTGTGTGTGACCCTATGTACCCCGAGCCGTCAGGTGTGATGGACCCTGTGTGTGAGCCTATGTACCCCGAGCCGTCAGGTGTGATGTACCCTGTGTGTGAGCCTATGGACCCCGAGCCGTCAGGTGTGATGGACCCTGTGTGTGAGCCTATGTACCCCGAGCCGTCAGGTGTGATGTACCCTGTGTGTGAGCCTATGTACCCTGAGTCGTCAGGTGTGATGTACACTGTGTGTGAGCCTATGTATCCCGAGCCGTCAGGTGTGATGTACCCTGTGTGTGAGCCTTTGTATCCCGAGCCGTCAGGTGTGATGTACCCTGTGTGTGAGCCTATGTACCCCGAGCCGTCAGGTGTGCTGTACCCTGTGTGTGAGCCTATGTACCCCGAGCCGTCAGGTGTGATGTACCCTGTGTGAGAACATATGTACCCCGAGCCGTCAGGTGTGCTGTACCCTGTGTGTGAGCCTATGTACCCCGAGCCGTCAGGTGTGATGTACCCTGTGTGAGAACATATGTACCCCGAGCCGTCAGGTGTGATGTACCCTGTGTGTGAGCCTATGTATCCCGAGCCGTCAGGTGTGATGTACCCTGTGTGTGAGCCTTTGTACCCCGAGCCGTCAGGTGTGATGTACCCTGTGTGTGAGCCTATGTATCCCGAGCCGTCAGGTGTGATGTACCCTGTGTGTGAGCCTATGTACCCCGAGCCGTCAGGTGTGATGTACCCTGTGTGTGAGCCTATGTATCCCGAGCCGTCAGGTGTGATGTACCCTGTGTGTGAGCCTATGTACCCCGAGCCGTCAGGTGTGATGTACCCTGTGTGTGAGCCTATGTACCCCGAGCCGTCAGGTGTGATGTACCTTGTGTGTGAGCCTATGTACCCCGAGCCGTCAGGTGTGATGTACCCTGTGTGTGAGCCTTTGTATCCCGAGCCGTCAGGTGTGATGTACCCTGTGTGTGAGCCTATGTATCCCGAGCCGTCAGGTGTGATGTACCCTGTGTGTGAGCCTATGTATCCCGAGCCGTCAGGTGTGATGTACCCTGTGTGTGAGCCTATGTACCCTGAGCCATCAGATGTGATGTACCCTGTGTGTGAGCCTATGTTCCCCTGAGCCGTCAGGTGTGATGTACCTTGTGTGTGAGCTTATGTACCCCGAGCCATAAGGATCACACACAGGGTACATCACACCATATACCCTTTGAGATTGGCACACAGCGAGTTTATCTCACCAACATTCATTTATAGGACCTGGAATATAGGGTTCGCCGAGTAAAACACTTTTGATTCAGATGTTTTGACAGCTAGCAGACGATGCAAACCGAATTACTTCCCTTCACACAATGCATTCGGATAAACATCGGTTAATTTCACCTGTTCAATACTAATGTGAGATAAGCAAGTTTCCCAAGATATGTTCTGATTGATTTCTCAGCGGGGTATATGAGCAGGCTATATTGAAAATAATTGCCCGTTCCTTAACAAATCAGAAGCTTGTATATTAATGTAAGGTGAGATAGTCTGTCATGTGCTAAGAACCTGACCCAATCCGAAATCCTGTTGTATATTGATAATAATATACAGCATATTTCTATGCATTACCATAATTGGCATCTTCCTGAGGCAAGGGAGATAACTGACTATGAAAGTCCAGTTTCCACCCATGCTGAACTAGGCTGGTATTATGGAGTTGTATTTTGGCTGGACTAATGAGCCTATGCATAGTCCAATCAAAATCACATAACGAAATTGACAACCAGTTTGTAAACTGCGGTGCAGAATTTGGTTGATTGCAGGATTTGCAAAGCATGTGTACCGCCAACTAGGCGTCAGCAGATATTTTACTAATCTTTTCATGTCTCACATGATTTGATGCACTTCACGAAGTTAGAACCGTTTTATCACAATATAGATTTTGATTATTGATTGGATTATCTTGACTGGGCTCTGACCTTGTGGCTCCCAGCCTGCAGAGTGACTTGATGATGGAGACATGTACGTGTGTGTGTGTTGTCAGATCTGTATGAAGACCTTGTGACAGAGACATGTACGTGTGGCTGTGTGTGTGTTGTCAGATCTGTATGAAGACCTTGTGGCTCCCAGCCTGCAGAGTGACTTGATGATGGAGACATGTACGTGTGTGTGTGTTGTCAGATCTGTATGAAGACCTTGTGACAGAGACATGTACGTGTGGCTGTGTGTGTGTTGTCAGATCTGTATGAAGACCTTGTGGCTCCCAGCCTGCAGAGTGACTTGATGACGGAGACATGTACGTGTGGCTGTGTGTGTGTTGTCAGATCTGTATGAAGACCTTGTGACAGAGACATGTACGTGTGTGTGTGTATTGTCAGATCTGTATGAAGACCTTGTGACAGAGACATGTACGTGTGTGTGTGTTGTCAGATCTGTATGAAGACCTTGTGACAGAGACATGTACGTGTGTGTGTATTGTCAGATCTGTATGAAGACCTTGTGACAGAGACATGTACGTGTGTGTGTGTTGTCAGATCTGTATGAAGACCTTGTGACAGAGACATGTACGTGTGTTTGTGTTGTCAGATCTGTATGAAGACCTTGTGGCTCCCAGCCTGCAGAGTGACTTGATGACGGAGACATGGCAGAACAGTGGCAGCAGGATGAACTCCAGCTGTGCCGGCAAGTTTAAGGTAGAGTACCAGGTAGTCTGGGCCTCAACTCTAGGATTAGGTCCAAAGAGGTTTTGCAAGACTTAGAAAAAACTACTGCTGTAGAGCCCCTCAATGGTCTAGTGGTGGAGTGTCTGCCTGGAGAGCGGAAGGTCGGGGTTCAATCCCTGGCCGCAGCATACCAAAAGACGTTAAAAGATGGTACTACTTGTTACCCTGCCTGACACTCACCATTAATGGGCTGAACAAGGACTGCTCAGCTCGGAGTCAGTATACTGTCACTGAGTGTGTTGTAGAAGACAATGTGATGTTTTCTGTCTGTGTACATGTGATCTGATGTTACGTTGCAGGTGTATAACGCGAAGTCCGACATGTTGCCGGGGGGAATCGTGTTCAAGGAGACAATGTGATGTTTTCTGTCTGTGTACATGTTATCTGATGTTACGTTTCCGGTGTATAACGTGAAGTCCGACATGTTGCCGGGGGGGAATCGTGTTCAAGGAGACGATGTGATGTTTTCTGTGTGTGTACATGTGATCTGATGTTACGTTGCAGGTGCATAACGCGAAGTCCATCGTGTTGCCGGGGGGGATTGTGTTCAAGGAGACGATGTGATGTTTTCTGTGTGTGTACATGTGATCTGATGTTACGTTGCAGGTGTATAACGCGAAGTCCGACATGTTGCCGGGGGGGAATCGTGTTCAAGGAGACGATGTGATGTTTTCTGTCTGTGTACATGTGATCTGATGTTACGTTGCAGGTGTATAACGTGAAGTCCATCGTGCTGCCGGAGGGGATCGTGTTCAAGGAGACCAAGGACCACTCCAAGTGGGCCATCAGTCAGAACGGGACCAACTGGGTCTGTATTGGGGACATCAACAGAGATGTAAGTAACCATGGCAACACGCTGATATGTTGCTTCCAGAGGCAAGGGAGATAACTGACTATTAAAGTCCAGTTTCCACCCTTGCCAAACCAGACTGGAATTCCCAGGCTCGATTGTAGCGCCACCAGTGACTGTTAAGAATTATATCCGTTCTAAGTTCCTCCTTTTGACCAATCTCTTGTATCACTTGCATTTGCATCAAACAAAATGGTGGCACCTAGTCAAGACAATCTGCTCGATAATCAAGATCTATACTGTAATAAAATGGGTCTTACCCCGCGAAGTGCATCAAATCATGGGAGCACCTTGATTAAAAACATGAAAGACAAAATATCAGTTTGCGGTATTTTTGCTTTGCAAACAGTCGACTGAAATCTGCACATTGAAATCCAATTTGTTCACATTATTTTCATTGGACAATGCATAGACTCGTTAGTCCAGCCAAAATGTAACTCCGTGTTACCAGCCTAGTTCAGCAGAGGTGGAAACTGGACTTTTATAGTCAGTAAACGCCCTTGCCTCGGGAAGATGGCCTGGTCAAAATGATCAGATGTTTAGAAATATTCAGCCTGTGATCTTGTGGTTCATTCAGTCCCCGGCCGTGTCATACCAAAAGACGTTCATGGATGGGACTTGTTGTTACCCTGCCTGGCAATTGGCATTAAGGGGCTAAAACAAAGATCGGTTCAGAGTCAGTATTCAGTGTCTGAGTGGGGTATTCTTGTTAAACTGCGGCAGTCAGTGGACTAGCACTATAAAATCGGCATTAGACCAAACTAATACAAGCAGCCACACACAGACACGTGCATGCACGTTTCTATATAAGTGCAATAATCTTGGATGCGACGTTAAACCCAATTTCACCTCACCTTTAGAAATTTTCAAAATGGCTGACATGGCAACAGTGTGTTTGAGGTTGGATAAGGGTTCTGCTTGTTCATGATCACTGTCCTTTGTCTCATCATGGCTTTGATCGAAGTTGTAAACAAACGTGTTAAATATCCACATGACCATCAGTGCGAGGCAGAATGAATTGTAACACCCTTGACTAGAAGCCTATCTGGGATCTACAGCTGAGCCCGTGATTCTGTTTTCAGCTCAGCCAGGAGAAGCGGGCAGGAGGGACAGTGTGCTTCCAGAACTCCAAAGTGTGGACAAACTTTAACCTGGCTGTCAACAGCATTGAGTCCTGTCCACTCAAAGGGCATTGATAGGCCGGGAGGGCAGAGGGTTACAGGTGTTGAGGGAGACTGAGGGCATTGATAGGCCTGGAGGGCAGAGGGTTGACTTCTTTTGTCTTTTATATGCAATGTTTCGGTACAGATGCAGGCACTTGCGTGATGAAGGTATTAGCATCTGTACAAAAACAAGTTGAAATTCAGAAGTCAACCTTAATTTCATTGACACTTCAGCTTCCAGATGACACTCCAAGATATTATAGCTAAAATGGATAGAATCATCATTAAACCGCATGTTATCAGAAATAAGCAGGCCACTGTAACTTGATAATTCCCTCATATTGCTTGACAACAGGCCATTATCACGCCGATTGTGAGGTGACGTCATAGGGATGGAGAAGGGGACGTCACGTTTAATAGTCGGGCAGATAATGGAAGACCTCAGGTTTCTGTAATGATAATGCCCTGAAAAATAGCATTACCCTAATAGTAGTACAATACTTGACAATCTGTTCAGGCACTATTGAACACAGCTCAAACTTAGTCGTAATGCCATCAGCAGTTTTCAGTTCTAGGCTGGGGTCTCTGGTGTGTCTAGCTGCAATTGCTGTGCAGAGTCGCATCACTAGGCCTACCAGAAACCTATGATGGTGGGTCCGAATCCAGATCGGCCCTACTATGGTTCTAGGTTTGTTCGCACCATCCACATGCCAGTGCCACCTGCTGGGCTGCACCGAAGTGACACCCACCCTTCAGTCTTCTACACACCATGATATTCTGGAAAACTGTTGAAGTTGGCGTGAGGCCAATGGCTATTATTATTAAAATGTAAATAATTTTTTTAATTATTTTATTCAGAAATAGTTTTATTCATTTGTCTGCTGTGAGAGGTGAAGCAGCTTGCTGGACTGGTGATGGTTTCTGTACTTGTGCGTCAGACAGACGTAATTCTTATCTCAGGGTCTGCTGCTGGTGGCTGTACAATGGCTGTGTACACAGGAATGGGGATTTACAGGGTGGACCATGAACCTCAGAATCAGGCTAAGGCCAGGATAAGTTGAATACTAAATTTTTGTCTCTTCCCACTTCATGACCTGTCCCAATGTTTACATATTTACTGATGAAGAAAATGGTATTTTCACTTCTTTCCATGTTTGATAATACCCATAAGTCCAGGCAAAATAGATTTTTACTTGGAACAAATTGTTTATTTCACCACAGTGCTTTTCTGAAAGGTCCCCAAAACAACATACTAAAGTCCCAAGCAAGCCCAGTTTGGGAAATATGTCTAATTTGCATAATCCAATATGGCCACCAATTATCAATATATCTTCGATGTTTCAGATGAGGTTCAATGTTTTGATAAAAAAAAAGGATGTGTTGTATTGCAAAATAGCCATATTGTGTTTCTAAAATGATTTTCACAACGATTGAACCTTTTTGACTATTGACAAATCTACAAAAATTCAAAATGGCCGACAAATTTCCTGAATGCGTTTGGACTGTTGAATCATTTAACTCTATTAACTTAATTCTGTTTGCAGTTTGTTCCTAGTTTGCCTGGACTACATCATCTTCCTGAGTCAAGGGAATTAACTGACTTTAAAAGTCGAGTTTCCACCCTTGCCGAACTAGGCTGGAATTCCTGGTCTCACGAGTTATGTCCCTTCTATGCCTCTCCCATGGACCAATCAAATTCCACCACTCGTATCACTTGCATTTGCTTCAAACAAAATGGCTCCGCCATGTCAAGACGATCTGAGTGACAATCAAAATCTATATTGTGATAAAACAAGTCTTACATCGCGAAGTGCATCAAATCACATGTGCATCTTGATTAAAAACATGAAAAGATTCAGAAATAACTGTTGACGAGTTTGCGGTCACATGCTTTGCAAATCCTGCAATGGACCGAACTCTGCATGACAGTTTACAAACCAGATTTTGATTTTGTTACGCAATTTTGATTGGACTATGCACAAATTCGTCAGTCCAGCCAAAATGTAATTCCATAATACAAGCCTAGTTCGGCAAGGGTGGAAACTGGACTTTTGTAGTCAGTTAATTCCCTTGCCTTGGGAAGATGGGACTACGTATACATATAAAGCATGCATGCGACACGGAAATCAGATCTGTGGACAAATGTGGTGAACAATTTGTCCCAACAATGCTGAAGACTGTAATTCTCAGAACTTGTATGAAAATCTGAAACTATATTTGTTGTGGCTGTTGCAGGGTTTATACTCACTGTGACAGGAGATCTGTAATGTACGCATGAAAATACATACTGTCATGTAATGTAATAGTATTCAAATGACTAACAGACTGGTTTAGAAATAGGTCAGTGGGTGTGTATTTGAGCAGAGCGTTTAATGACAAATACGGTATTTAGCGCGTAGCACAGGTTGATTGTGTGCTTGTTTCTTCATTCCTAGATCTTTCTAGATCTCCAATTCTTACTCAAAAGAATCTTTTTATTATGTGATGGTGGTCAGTGGCAGACACGGGGAGGGTGATGGTGGTCAATGGTCGACATTGGGAGGGTGGTCAGTGGCAGACACAGGGAGGGTGGTCAGTGGCAGACACAGGGGGAGGGTGATCAGTGGCAGACACAGGGGGAGGGTGGTCAGTGGCAGACACAGGGGGAGGGTGATGGTGGTTAGTGGCAGACACAGGGGGAGGGTGATCAGTGGCAGACACAGGGGGGGGGGTGATCAGTGGCAGACACAGGGGGAGGGTGATGGTGGTTAGTGGCAGACACAGGGGGAGGGTGGTCAGTGGCAGACACAGGGGGAGGGTGGTCAGTGGCAGACACAGGGGGAGGGTGATCATTGGCAGACACAGGGGGAGGGTGATCAGTGGCAGACACAGGGGGAGGGTGGTCAGCGGCAGACACAGGGGGAGGGTGGTCAGTGGCAGACACAGGGGGAGGGTGGTCAGTGGCAGACACAGGGGTAGGGTGGTCAGTGGCAGACACAGGGGGAGGGTGATCAGTGGCAGACACAGGGGGAGGGTGATCAGTGGCAGACACAGGGGGAGGGTGATGGTGGTTAGTGGCAGACACAGGGGGAGGGTGGTCAGTGGCAGACACAGGGGGAGGGTGATCAGTGGCAGACACAGGGGGAGGGTGATCAGTGGCAGACACAGGGGGAGGGTGGTCAGTGGCAGACACAGGGGGAGGGTGGTCAGTGGCAGACACAGGGGGAGGGTGGTCAGTGGCAGACACAGGGGGAGGGTGGTCAGTGGCAGACACGGGGGGAGGGTGGTAAGTGGCAGACACAGGGGGAGGGTGATCAGTGGCAGACACGGGGAGGGTGGTTAGTGGCAGACACAGGGGGAGGGTGGTCAGTGGCAGACACGGGGGGAGGGTGGTAAGTGGCAGACACAGGGGGAGGGTGATCAGTGGCAGACACAAGGGGAGGGTGATCAGTGGCAGACACAGGGGGAGGGTGGTCAGTGGCAGACACAGGGGGAGGGTGGTCAGTGGCAGACACAGGGGGAGGGTGGTCAGTGGCAGACACAGGGGGCGGGTGATCATTGGCAGACACGGGGGGGAGGGTGATCATTGGCAGACACGGGGGGAGGGTGGTCAGTGGCAGACACAGGGGGAGGTTGATCAGTGGCAGACACAGGGGGAGGGTGGTCAGTGGCAGACACAGGGGGAGGGTGGTCAGCGGCAGACACAGGGGGAGGGTGGTCAGTGGCAGACACGGGGAGGCAACTAGTGTTGCCACTGACATCACCCATCTGCATTTTAAAATCCTTGATTAATTGGAATTTAGATTAGTGCATGTATATTTATTAAGTTAAGTCTCAATGAAAAACATTTGAGAATGTTAGTTTGTCCTCCAGTTGATCTTGTTTGAGTTGTCTTGCAACTTTCTGTGCAGAGTTACAGTTCTTGTCGTGCCAGCATCAGTCTGGTTTATTTGCATGATCTATGTACCTCATTGCGAAGGAAAAAGTACCTTTGCACAGTGAACCCTAACCCTGAAAGATATTATTTTTAACATGTTTTTCTTTTGTAGCAATGACCATGAAAGTTCAGGATTGTCACATATTTTCATTCCAGATCCTTATATTTTTGTATATTTACTGTACATATTTCTTTTGTTTTTATTTCATTTATGTTGTTTGAGGTTTTTAAATTGAAAAGAATGACCTGTTCTGGTATACATGGTATGTCTATAAACCAGATGTCTTTGAAATGAAACTTATGCATGTTGGTGCTACTTGTCCTTGGGACTCAGATATGTTTGGTAAAAGCAAGATTTTATATGGATGACAACTTCTTTATTCTATGATGATACCTTTCGGAAAAGATCTTTATGCTGTTGTCAAGCAAGAGGTGAGGCAAGGTGAAATGGGGTTTAACATCATGTCCAAGATTACTGCACATTTATAACGATGTTTGTGTGTGTGGCTGCTTGTACCACTCCGGACTAATTGCAATTTTATAGTGAGCCCACTGAGATACCATGCCGCAGTTTAACATGAATACCCCACTCAGTATACTGTTTACTGACTCAGAGCCGACCAGTCCTTGTTTTAGCCCCTTAATGCCAAGCACTAGACAGGGTAACAACAAGTACCATCTTTTGACGTCTTTTGGTATGACAAGGCCCGGGGATCAACCCCGTACCTTCTGCTCTCCGGAGAGACGCTCTACCACCAGACCACAGAGGACAGAGGCCTACTTGACAACAGCATAAGGATCTTTACTGAAACATTGCATCATAATAGAATAAGGAATCCATAAAAGATCTTGCCTTTTCTGTTACTTTTCAACTTGTAAAAATGCCAATCAAATTGTTCAGATATGAGCTGCTACTCTCCTTCCACCTTTCCTTGGATAAGACAATGAGTTTTTACAGTGCTAATGGCAATCTCATTAAAATCAGATCTTAGTTCTCGCCATCGCTAAACAAAGATCTGTGGACATCCCATTACGGGTCACGTCAGAACTACCTTTCTTCCGACCAATCAAAGCGTCGCTTACCAGATCATGAAAGTGACAGTCGGAATGTGTTTTCTAATCATGAAACCCCGAAAACGTTGATAACGGGTATTCCGAACGCCCGTACGACTGATTCCGTCAAAATTATAGTCTTCCGTGGGGTAAACGTTCCAACGGAGGAGGCGTTGCACAGTATATGGGAAACACTGCCATACAATCTCAAACATATATTAGACATACAGGAATGTTCGTTTGTTCAGTTTTCAAAATTTAAATCGAGGACTGGGTCAACATATTTTTCAAGCGTAGTCTGAAATGGAAGTCGCCCGGTTGAAACGAGTGCCGTAAAGCTCGAGAAAGCTGCTTTCTAATTGATTGATGTCGACTTCTTGTTAGGCTAGTCATTTCAGTGGTAAGTCAAAGTTCGCGAAAGGTCTTTCTGACATGACCAGCAATGGGATGTCCTCAGATCTTTGTTTTGCGGCAGCGAGAACTTCAGCGACAGACACCAGAACACTAGCTCCTTCCCAGGATGTGACACTGACATTACATCCCCGTTAACATCACGGTAGCTCTGCAATCGGCCATTGCTGTGTGGAGCTTGCCTAGAACATAGGAAAGGGAGGTAACTCCTATGCGTTCCTCATTTGTTTGACAGCTACAAATAGATGATGACATTTTGTCAGACCAAAGGAAGGGATGATAATGATGTTTTTCAGGGATTAATATAGCATTCCAAACTTACCGCTCTTGGCATCGTCTTTATCTCCGGCACGTATTTGCTAAAGCTACTCTACAAGCCCTGGATCCATTCACAAGGTTTCTGGGAAGGAGTTTGTGTTCTTGTTGGTTTGGTTGGTTGGTTGTTTTACACCGCACCCAGCAATATTACAGCTGTATGACGGCGGTCTGTAAATAATCGAGTCTGGACCAGAGAATCCAGTGATTGATGTCATGAGCATCGATCCCCGCAATTGGGATCGATGACATGCATCAACCAAGTCAGCGAGCCTGACCACTCGATCCTGTTAGTCGCCTCTTACAATAAGCAACGTCACACATGTATATCAGATTCACATGTATAAAAGATTGGTGTAAAATACATTATTGCCTATTCATATAAAATTGTATTTAAATTATTACAACTGTATAATATTTTCGTACAAGTTACATATATATTTAGATTTGTAGGATCGAGGGAGTGGTCACTTGGTTCAACAAAACGTGACAAACTTGGGGTAAGAATCTTATAAAACATGTAGAAGCTATAGGAATGATTCTTATACCGTATTGTCCATGTTGACCGTTTTTGGCAGTCTAGACACGTTTGAGAATTATGAACGGACATTCAGTGGCGAGGATCATGCAAGAAACGTGAAATTGTTCAACTTTATTTTTTACATCATCTTCGAGCATAGTCCACGTGGAACTATGGATCTTCAGGACTGTTTATAGTAACATTTTATCTACTAGAGAAGAAACTTTGTATTTTAATAAAATATGTTCAAAGCCTTATACCTTTTGCTGTTTATTTGTTTGACTCTGTCCGTTGAAACTGTTCACTGCAACCAATTCAACCACACACCTGGAACAGGACAGACCCCATGCTTCTTGTTGAAGAGGCGGACTGCTGGCTGATCAGAATGGCTGCTAGGTATAGAGTTAGGGTTCAACGCCACCTCGAACAGTTTATCGATTATATACTCGCATGTGAGGTACATATCAGACGTCAACGCCAGAGAATAACCAGTGGTTATCCGCCCAAACAGATTTGATTGGGTGTAAAAGGCAAAATAGCTGACTTGGATGATGCATGTCACCGTATTCAAATTGCGTAGACTGATGCTAATGATGTCAATCACTGGATTGTCTAGTCCAGATTCGATTATTTACGCCCTCATATAGCTGGAATATTGCTGAGTGCGGCTTTAAACAAAGTCCAGAAACCTTGGGTTCGACGACTGAAGCTCCTAATTGTTCGTTCGTGTGTTTGTTCATGCTGTCATCCACTGGTTTGTCAGTTCAGGCTCCACTTATTTTCACAGACCCCTCAGATCTTATCCCACTTCTGTTGAATCCCCCTGAAATTGTAGCAGGGCCTCGTTCCACAAAGTGATCGCAGCACTACATGGAAGTCAATGTTCAAGTAGGGATCGTTGTGGCGCTACGGCCGTGGAAGTCAATGTTCAAGTATGGATCGTTGTAGCGCTACGACCGTGGAAGTCAATGGTCAAGTATGGATCGTTGTAGCGCTACGACCGTGGAAGTCAGTGTTCAAGTAGGGATCGTTGTAGCGCTACGACCGTGGAAGTCAATGTTCAAGTAGGGATCGTTGTAGCACTACGACCGTGGAAGTCAGTGTTCAAGTATGGATCGTTGTAGCACTACGACTGTGGAAGTCAATGTTCAAGTAGGGATCGTTGTAGCGCTACGACCGTGGAAGTCAATGTTCAAGTATGGATCGTTGTAGCGCTACGGCCGTGGAAGTCAATGTTCAAGTAGGGATCGTTGTAGCACTACGACCGTGGAAGTCAATGTTCAAGTATGGATCGTTGTAGCGCTACGGCCGTGGAAGTCAATGTTCAAGTTTGGATCGTTGTGACGCTACGGCCGTGGAAGTCAATGTTCAAGTATGGATCGTTGTAGCGCTACGGCCGTGGAAGTCAATGTTCAAGTATGGATCGTTGTAGCGCTACGGCCGTGGAAGTCAATGTTTCAAGTATGGATCGTTGTGACGCTACGGCCGTGGAAGTCAATGTTCAAGTATGGTTCGTTGTAGCGCTACGGCCGTGGAAGTCAATGTTCAAGTATGGATCGTTGTAGCGCTACGGCCGTGGAAGTCAATGTTCAAGTATGGTTCGTTGTAGCGCTATGACCGTGGAAGTCAATGGTCAAGTATGGATCGTTGTAGCATTACGACCGTGGAAGTCAATGTTCAAGTATGGATCGTTGTAGCGCTACGACCGTGGAAGTCAATGTTCAAGTATGGATCGTTGTAGAGCAACGACCGTGGAAGGCAATGTTCAAGTAGGGATCGTTGTAGCGCTACGGTCACTCTGTGTAACAGAGACCAGGTTGAACTAACGCTCGCTTCCCACTTACCCTAATTACACAACCCTATGACGGGAATCTGAGCCTCAGCAATAATCTCCAGGTTGTCCTGGCACAATAAATCCTTTTTCGAATGCCTATAATACGGCCTTCGCGCTCAGAAGCAATGCCGAAACAAAGGCCAAAACTGCAACTGTCCTCAATTAGAATAAAGGTCAACTTGTAAAACACAGGTGAGTATTAATATTTATTACCCATATGGGCTCAAATATGCAGTGTAATAACTTTTTGATATTTGCACAGTGTGCAATTAGTGGTTCTCGAAGCTGATTGGTCAGTTAAACAAATGTCAATTTTCATTGGTCGACGGGAATATTTTTCTCTCAATGAGTTCATTCACAAATCCAGGGCATTCATTCACATGTTTTACGTGCTACAATCTCACTTTATCGAGATTTATAAGGCTAGAACATAGTTTTATATAAACCACATGATTTCACATTATAATGAATAAAGCAATTATTTCGCACGAGTTTTAGTTTGCAATAAGCGTAATTACAAAAAAGAAAACTACGTCTGCGTTGTTTGTAAACAAACATGGCTGACCATTTGACACCTGTCAAAGTAAATGACCTCGTTAAAGTGGACGGAGATCTGACAGGAAGAGTTATTCGCATAATTCAACCTCTGAACACATTTAATGTATTTGTTGTCAAAACTGCATATGGCCTGATAGAAGTTCCAAGATTCAGATTGCGAGTTTTGCGTCTGCCAGCGTCTGTGCTAGAGGACTTGCTGTTTGACGACTTTCTCGACCCCCCGAATCCAAACACCGGACTGAATGCAGACAGGTTTGCCTTTGTGAACGATGATGACATCGAAAAGTTCTTAACTGCCAATGAAAACGAAAACACTATGAAAAAGACTAAACTTGATATGAATTTTGTGCACAAATTTATACAGGAAAGTTTAAATGACACAAGAAAGGTGGAAGAAATTAGCCCCAGTGAACTTAACATTATTCTTTGTAAATTTTTCATTTCGGCACGCAAATCAGATGATTCGGAATACGAACCGTCTACTCTGAAGGGAATCAAGGCTAGCATTGAGCGTTACCTCAAGCGACACGATTACAAACATCTGCTGGCGGAATCTATGCACTTTGCTAAACTGAGAAATCAAAACAAAAATCATTAAAAAAGCAAGGAAAAGGAAACTTACCCCAGCGAGCTGATCCTGTGTCCGACATGGAACTGAATAAACTCCGTGAATCCGGACAGCTTGGCACTAAGTCTCCAGATGCTGTGTTAAACACATTGTGGTGGAACAATACAGTCTACTTTGGACTGAGGTCGGCCACGCCCCACAGACGCATGCAGTGGGGCGACGTAACACTCAAAACTGATTCCGATAATAAGGAACATTTACAGTATTTGGAACGCCAGTCAAAAACACGACAGGGTGATCAATCCCGTGACTTGGCACCCAAAGCGTGGGCTCAACCTGGTGGTGAATGTTGTCCGGTAGCAGTATACAAGTTGTATCGGGATGTTCGCCCGCGAGACTTTAGCAATGATGCGAGTCCATTTTATCTTGCAACAAACACACAGTTCGGTGTAAAATCCGAAAACACCTGGTTCAAACGCCAACCTGTTGGTAGAAACAAGTTAGGCTCTCTCATGAAGACCATGGCATCCAGGGCTGGACTGTCCTCAGACAAAAGGTTGACGAACCACAGCGCTAGCGAATGATCCAAACTTTATCCGACAATGGTGTCCCAGCGCATCAAATTATGCAAGTTTCTGGCCACAAGAACGTCCAGTCCATCAACAGTTATTCGACAATTAATGAATCACAACATCAAGATATCAACAATCCTGTCATCTTCTATATCCACTCCACAAGCGTGTTTGTCAAATCCACCCAGAATCCCAGATGCACTAGTTTCCCATCAGTCACACTTGTCACAAATCACACACGACGTCCATTCCCTGCACACGGTGCACACCCTGTTCTCGGGGCCCATATATGGAGGGTTTTTTAATTTCACCATTTCTTCCAACGACTCGGGTCACTCCACTGTCGACAGTCATCTACCGGCCCCGAAGAGAAGAATACTCATTGATTCTGACTCTGAGTAGTCTACAGAACTTCTTGTCCGGAATAAACTTGGAACTTGGTTTCAGCTGTCTCAAATCTGGGTCAAGTCGGGTCATTCTTTCCGACACTGACAGTAATCGTATTTTTCAAAGTTTACCTACTTTTCGTAACTTTTCTCAATCAAACATGACTTCTGTACATTCCTTCTATGTTGTTGATACAGTTTTTGGCATTTTTATCGAATGACACATGAAAAAATTGACAGGTTTTCCGTGTTTCCTCTTCTCAATGTGAAATTCATGTCCATGCTGATGCACGACGGCTGTTGTCTTGTCAATGAGAGGTTTTGTCAAAACAAGCCTTGATTAAAAAGCCTGTTGAACCTTTTTTGAAAATTGTCTTCTTTTATCAATGCTAGATAGTGTACGCTGTGTAACTCAGACAGAAATATAACTGAAATAATGTGATCTTTAAAGTTTTGTTAACAGAACTATATTTTTACGCGTAGCAAGACGTTGATTGAGTAATGCGGTTGGAGTGCGTGGACGGTGGTTTTTTTACACGCGGATTGATACAAAACAGCTGATTCTTGATCGGCGGCAGTTGATTGTTTTTTTCTTGAAACATGTCTTTAATATGAATATGGGTTATAAATAGAATAACCCACTCAGTACGAGTGATTACGGAAAATAAGCTCGAAACTTAAAACATTAATTTCAATGTCGCATGAAAGCAGGACAAACTAGATATGCAAAGCGCATATGATAGTTAGGGGCGGTCGGGTAGCCTTGTGGTTAAAGCGGTCGCTCGTCACGCTGAAGACCCGGGTTCTATTCCCGACATAGGTACAATGTGTGAAGCCCATATCAGGTGTCCTGCTGGAATATTGCTAGAAAAGGCGTAAAACCATACTCACTCACTCATATGATAGTTGATATCCCCTAGTAACTGCACCTTGTCTCACTGTTTCTGGTCCTTTCTAATAACCTTTCTGAAGAAACTTTATATTTCCGTTTTTTATGTTTTCAAATATTGATAAACGCACTCATGATATTTAGCATTTCAGTCGATGCCAAGCATCTGTTAGTTTAGATTGTATTATTATCAAAACTATTTTTAATGTCAGATGTCAGAAACATCAAAGTTGAATATATTTTGTTTCCCAATTTTCTATTTATAAGGTCAGATATGTAGATAGGAAGTAGAAAGTAAATCCTAATACATTCGAAATTACCAGTTGAGTCTAGACTCAAAAGTTCCTTTCAACAAAAATGAATTGAATTCTGGAAATATTATTCAGTCAGTCTTAGAAAAACTTAAGAATTAAACAATGTGGACCCACAGCACACCCAGTATGTCCAGTGGGGATTTATTTCTATGTAAAACATTGAGGATATTTTCCCAGCATTTTCGGTAACATCGTCCTTTTTTCAAGATCATCATTGAAGTGATGAGGTCTGACAGCCGCCCCCTAAAGTGGGAGTAAGGTACGGCACATAATGGAAAATGTAATACAATTATATGTTTTCAAAGTTGTCAATAAATGAGCCACTGCAACAACTGTTCTCAATAATCTCAGAGTGTCAGTGTGCTTGTGTGCCCACCATATACCTGCCACTACATTTTAGACAATTGCTACAATATAGAGATATGTTATGCCTCAAAGTGAGATTGACAAATCAGAGCGCAAAACTACTAACCCAATATGAGCCCGTCGGGAAAAATCCAAGATTTTTGTTACTGACCTAAAATCAGACTGTATATGGTCACTAAAGCGGCTGCGGCTCCTTTGGTGTGTGTTTGTTTGTTTGTTGTTCAACGCCGCAGTCAGCAATATTCCAGCTGTAAGGCGGCGGTCTGTAAATAATCGAGTCTGGACCAGACTTTCCAGTGATTGACATCATGAGCATCGATCCACACAATTGGGATCGATGACATGCATCAATCAAGCCAACGAGCCTGACCACCCGATCCCGTTAGTTGCCTTTTACGGCAAGCATGGGTTGCTGAAGACCTATTCTACTCCGGATCTTCACGGGTCTCTCACTGAGGTGAGTTTGACTTCCGGTCGCCAAAGCAATACCGGAAGGACTCCAACACGAAGATGGAAAACATATGTCATTAAAAAATAAACTGTGGTGTAATATAGTTATTAAAGTGTTTGTTGGTCACCATGAAGTAGGAACGCGATTGAAATGTATCTATTTTATTGTGGTGTCATTAAACATAGCGCTCGTAAAATGATCACGTTTTCCACAAGGCTGTGATATTGGCATACTGACAGAAGGAAGCGGTGTAAAATATAGGGGATTTATTCTGACAGGTTTTGAATAGTCAAAGGGAAAATACCTTTTTTCAAAGATATAGATCAAATAATAAAATTACATTGCATCATGATAAAGACAATCGCATAATTTCACGAGAAACTCATTTGGTTGATATTTTTTCTGCTAAATATTCTCAGATGGAAGTGAAAGTGAATAAATGTAGTTTTACTTGGCAGACAGCAATAGTGAAGCCATATCATACCGCAATTTAAATAATCGAGAACTAGGGCAGGCAAACCAGTGGTTGATAGAAGGAGCATTGATTCACCCGTCCCGGTCACGATGACATAGATTGTAACCACCTCAGTAGTCGGGCCGGTCGGGTAGCCTACTGGTTCAAGCGTTCGCTCGTCACGCCGAAGACCCGGGTTCGATTCCCGACATGGGTACAATGTGTGAAACCCAATCCTGGTGTCCCCCGCCGTGATATTGCTGGAATATTGCTAAAAGCGGCGTAAAACCATACTCACTCACACACTCAGAACAAGCATAGCGTACTGGGGGACTACAGGTGTCCGATGAAGATATGACATAATTGTAAAACATAGAAACTCAATCCTTGTGAGGTCCAGCAAGACAAGAGAAATGCAGTGGCCAACATGGACGTGGGTCGAATGTGCCTCATGATCACGAAGGGCCATCTCAAAGCCTGGTCGCCTCTGAGTCAGTGGGGGATTCATGTTAATCTGCGGCTTGCACTAGAAAATCGGCATACGTTTGGGCTAGTACAAGCAGCCCCACACACACACACACGCACACACACGCACACACACACACACGCGCGCGCACACACACACACACGCACGCACACATACACACACGCACACATACATACACACGCACACACACACGCACTCACACGCACAAACACACACACACACAATCACGCACACAAACACGCACACACACACACACACACATGCATGCTCATCGCTATTTTAGGCAATAATCCTGAACGCGCCGTTAAAGCCAATTTCACCTCACCTCACCTCACCTCACCTCACCTCACCTCACCTCATGTCAAACCGAGACTCACCCACTCACTCACCCGTTAAATTCACGATGGTGTAATGGGGTAGCCTGGAGGTTAACATTTTCGCTCGATAGGAAAACCAGGGTTCGATTCCCCATATATGTACCGTTTGTGGGCCATTCTAGGCGATGTGGTCTGCCTGGCACAGACCCAAATATATACAGGCGTCCGTGGACACTCATTCAACACGTCCTTATTTCTCAATAGCCCTTGTAGACTTAAAGTTTAAAGCAAATTGGTCTTTTTTATTTTTTGGTGTTTTGTCTCAGTGTACCATTTATGGTTTCAGTTGATCAAGCAGAATTTGTTCAAACACTTTAATAACCTCGAATTGTGTTGCTTCTTGTATACCCAGTATTCTTTCGTTTCCCTTTGTCTTGGCAAGGTGCCAAAATTCCACGACTTTTCCACGTAAATAATATTTTAGGAATGTCAATTCCGAGCGCTTAAAAATGTTGTTATGAACACCCAAAGGGGATTTTTTCCCAATGCAATAAATACTGCAATATGATTTTACACTTTAAAAATATGCGAAGTTGCAGTTTGTGGTTTCCTATCAGCATTTAAACTCCCGATCGACATGGGAACGATTTTATGCCGTGTGCTTTGTGGCCTGAAAGACGATTGAATTAACTTTCTCGTAGACACTTGTATTGATCGACTTTCTGCGGCGTTCATGTTGAATCCACGTGGGTGTGAGAAGCAGGTGGGTTTGGCCGAGTTACAACCAATCTCCAGATTCATGTATAGCAACAGTTAAAAGCTCTCTGCATGGACACCTGCACTAAATTAAAACAATTCCTTCCCCTGAGTCGCGAAAGTGACTCATCTTAAGCGGAACTTAACGCGATAGTGCTGTGATAGTGCAGTGATAGTGCCGTGATAGTGCAGGGATAGTGCTGCGATAGTGCCGCGATAGTGCCGTGATAGTGCTGCGATAGTGCTGCGATAGTGCCGCGATAGTGCCGCGATAGTGCCGTGAGAGTGCCGTGATAGTGCTGCGATAGTGATGTGATAGTGCTGCGATAGTGCCGCGATAGTGCCGTGATAGTGCCGTGATAGTGCCGCGATAGTGCCGCGATAGTGCTGCGACAGTGCCGTGATAGTGCCGCGATAGTGCCGCGATAGTGCCGCGATAGTGAGAGAGAGAGAGAGAGAGATTGAGGACAAACAACCCGCCTCTGTACCCCTCACCTTGACACTCAGTATACCCTATCAATAGTTGAGTAGTATATAAAGGTACTGAGATATTGTTTTAATGTAATAGTTGTAAGTGCCAACTTGTTCCAACAATATGCTCTGGCAGTTACAATCCAGTAAGAATCAACAGTCATGTGACTGCGAGCGGTTATATTTGGCAGTGACCTTTGTCAATAACTTTAAAGACTACATCTGCACGTACTTTTCTTTCATTTCGTGCTTGTAATGTTCGTACCCTGCGGACGCTACTAAATATAGTCGCTCGCAGTCACCCGACTGCCATTCCTCAGTAAGGATGTTTATCAATAAGAAAATGGATATTTCTTGAAAAGCACACTTTGCAATTTAGTCATATTCCTTATCGGCGGTATGGCTTGTTGTCACTTTATAAGTCTTAGCAGGCATCCAGGAATATCTTCCTCAATTAATCATAGCCATATGTCGTTATTGTCTTTCAAGCGAGGATTATAATTCTTCTTCCAAACTTTACAACATCATTAAGAACTGTACGCACATCCGTCATCAAACAATGTCTGCCGTCACGTGCGACCTTCATAGTGGGCGATATCACAAATGACCTCTTTGATGACCAGGCGATACTAAGCGATAATCCGTCACCACGACACGACGACATGGGGGGACCACAACCCATTTTCTTTGAACAGAAAGTAAACACGTTCTGCAAGACGCTCGGCGACAAGACTCGCCTCATTTGTTCTAGATTCGAATACTGTGGGCGTACTTGGCCGACTGCAGTGTGTAATTCATTGTCAATGTTGTTTGACAGCATGGTCTGCAAGGTCTTCCAAACCTAGCTGTGCGGAGAGCTAGCATTGTGGTTAAATCGTTCACTCGTCTCGTCAACGGCACGGGTTCTATTCCATACTGGGTATAATGTACGAAGCTCATTTATGGTATCCCGGATGTGATTTAAAAATAATAATGAATGCATTTATAATGCGCCAGATTCCATTCACCAAGTGGATGCTCATAGCGCTACACCATTATTACCCAAG